ATGTATAAAAATACAACTGCGTGAAACACACAGTAGTATGAAACTTCAACTGCGTGAAACACACAGTAGTATGAAAATTCGGCTGCGTGAAACACACAAACTTCACGCATGCGTGGAGTGTATGGAGTGTACGGGAGTGATTCACGCAATGGTGCGAATAGTCACGGCCTTTCATAAAACGAGTGGAAAACCCAAAAAAATTCAAAAATCCTTGAATTATTGTAATCTCAACATCCAATGCACAAGTTTTCCGGAAACCCCCTCGATAAATTCTATTTATGCCGTCCAAAAAGTTTCAATTCCGTGAAACTTCAGATCCGTCCGATAAATTCTCACAATAGGTCGATAAATCGCGATAAAAAACCTCTGGGAAACCGTACGGAAGTTTGTTTTTGACATCATGTGGGTCACAATGGCACAGAATCCTCCAGAAGACGTCCTTGGCACCGAAAATAGTCAACGGGAGGGATAACAGTTGGGGGCAGATGGCAATTGGCTGCCGCTCTCTAAACTCGTTAGACCAATTCACCCGAATTTTATATCTCGACTAGAACCAAGTTTTCCCCAACTTTTTCAATAAAATTCCGACCCCCAATCGTGACCACGGTCAACCGGGGAATATGGTGCATCGTTAGAGCCCATTTTCCCGGAGAATTCCTCGGAATTGAGCATGAAAGGCCGCCAGATAGTGGGCGTGATCAATTTAATTGGAGATCTTTGTTGGAGGGAAAGGCGGGAATTCGCACGGAGAAATAAAGGATTCGAGGTAAGAGATACAGGTGGTACAGCTGGACTGATAATAGTACGGTTATAATAACAGACGCCACTATGAGCGTGCGAGAGGCACGGCGAAGCTAATGTACGGTAGGATAAACAAGAGTCAAAGGCTTGTGACGATGGAAACAGACGAGCATTAACTCCGATTCCTTTCAAAATCCATCAGTGCTTTTAGCCTCGCTTAAATCATTCCGCATTTGAGATAAAAAGGTGACGGAATGTCTGGCGACATGTAATGGGTGGATCCCCCTAGCGACGACCGAATTGTTGGCGTCTTTCGTCGATTTCGATAAACAAGAGCAACTTCCTCCTGTCCATCAGGCTTTCACCACTCTCCCGTGTATTTCAGCGCTTCTGTTTTCTCAAGTTTTTTATTCATTTCTCTTATTCTCGACGAATTTATACTTTGGCTGTTTCGGTTTGTGCGTGATACGGTGGTAGAAATTTTTTGAAAATTAAACAATAGGTGCGCTTGAATTCGAATGTTGCGAATTTTTAATTCAATTTAAGATCAAATCGTTCATGGAATCTCTCGTTCAGGAGAATTGGGTTTACCGTGTTATATTGTCACTGATATTTCAATGACATCTAGAATTTTCAAATTCATTTCGGAAATTGAACATCCAATTGAATTTTCAAATTATTCAATAATTTTCATTATCATGTGGACCTGAAAATGGAAATTCTATTGAATACTCCAGAATTCAACTGATTTTTCAACGACAAAATAAGTGAGGGGTGTTTTCTTGTTTGAATGCAGGTGAGAAAATTGGTGGCAATTGAGGAAATTGGAAATTTATGCGCTGAGGGAACAATTTCAAACAAAACAAATTCGTTTGTGGAGATTTTTCAACTGAAATTTCTGATATGTGAATTCGATGTGAATTTGATTAAATGGTGAATTTTTTTTTCGTCTTGGAAATGCAAGAAAATTGAGTTTTTTACGCTAGGCGATCATCGATATTTCAGTAATAGTTGAAATTCTTAAACATCTCATTCATTTGACTTTCGATAGATTCAGTGTTCAAATAAATAGTCGCCCGAATTTTCAGAATTTTTAACAATTTTCGTTGTCGTGCGGACATTAAAAACGCTATTTCGACTTGCTCGTGCCGATCAGGGTTCTATTTTTTTTATTTCTCAACGAATTTATATTTTGGACGTGTTGCTTGATGGGTGATGGGTTTTTTTAGAGGTGAGGAATGTTTTCTTGTTTGAATGTAGCAGAGAAAATTGGTGGTGATTGAGGGAATTGGAAATTTATGTGCTGAGGGAACAATTTATTCTCGCGAAACAAATTCATTTTTTGAAATTTTTTAACTGGAATGTCGATGTGAATCCAATTTGATTTGATTAAATGGTAATTTTTTTTTTCGTCTTGGAAATTTAAGAAAAATGGGTTTTTCATGTTCGCGATCATCGGTATTTCACAAATAGTTGAAATTCTCTAATTTTTGGAAAAATTAATCATCACATTCTATTAACTTTACGATTTCTTATGCCGTGTGGACATTAAAAAAGCTATTTCAACTCGCTCGTGTCCATCAGGGTTCTACGCATTTCAGCGGTTCTATTTTTTTTATTTCTCGACGAATTTATACTTTGGACGAGTCGGTTGATGGGTGATAGGTTTTTTCAACGGTGAGGAATGTTTTCCTGTTTGAATATAGGAGAGAAAATTGATGGTGGTTGAGGAAATTGGAAATTTATGCGCTGAGAGAAAAATTTATTCACGCGAAACAGATTAGTTTTCTGATATTTTTCAACTGGAATGTTTTGAAAGTCAAGTGACAACAGCTTTTGAATCTTGAATGTTGTGGATGTGAATTTCATTTAAGATTAAATCGTGAATAAATTTTCTTTTTCGTCTTGGAATTTCCAAAAAATCGCGTTTTTCATGTTCACATTAAATTGACTTTTCAGTTGCTTCAGAATTCAAAGAAAAAGGCGCCTGAATTTTCAGAATTTTTAATCATGTTTATTGTCGTGTGGACGTAAAATATGGCACTTCAACTTCCTCGTGTCCATTAGGGTTTCAGCGCTCTTGCGTATATTTCCGCAATTCTATTTTTCAAGTTTCTTTCACGTCTTATTTTCAACGAATTTATACTTTGGAAGTTTCGGTTGTCGGATGATAAGTTTTTTCAGCAGTAACTGATGTTTTCTTGTTTCGATAGCAGAAAAAACCGGTGGTGATTAATATTCAATTTAAAATTGAATTGATTATTAATGGATTTTCTTATTCACCTTCTAAATTGAACAAAATGGGATTGTTCATGTCAAGCGATCATTGTTATTTCAATCATTAGAATTCTCAATTTTTTTGTTAAAACTGGACATCCCATTCACTCCGAATTTTCGTGTTCCAAAATAAATGGAAATTTCATGTGTCATCATAAGTCATCGTGAAAAATGTCAAGATATTTCACGTCAAAATTCTCGATCAACTTTTTAACAGTGCTGTCACGCCCAAAAAATTCCTTTCAAAACTTTTAGCCCGCGAATAAAAGTTTCACTTGACAAAAATAAATCCCTTCTCATTCAAATACGAGAAAAAAATCGCTTCAATGCCGTATGAAAGGGTGGTTTTGTACCGGATAAAATTGCAAATCAATGTCATAAATCTCACTTATTCGTTCTCCATCAAGTGCCAATATTTTCTTATTTCTCATTGCGTCAATGTTTTCCCTGTTCTCTCCCATAAACATAACCATCATTCCACCAATATCCGCTGTGCATACTCAACAAGATAATAAATAACCAGCAAATAACAGGTTACGATAATTTCCATACACAATTGCTGAAAATTTCCCCAATTAAAAACGCCATTGAAACCGACAGTTTCAATATTTTTAAAGCGATGGAAATTATTACACATAAGAATTTGAATAGCCATTTTGTAAACAGATTTGTATTTTTGGCTGAATTTTTCAGAAGACCTTGAATTCGATTTAAAGGGAAAAATCAATGAAATTTCAAGTTTTCTCTGAAAATTCAAGTGAAGTCCCAATTTTTTAGCGTCAGGAAGATGAATATTCACCAGCAATTCCCTTAAATTTTAGGAGAATTCCTTTAAAATCCTTGAAATTCCAAAAATTTTGAAGGAATTCCTTGAAATTTCAATTATTTGAGCGAGACTAAAAGCACTGATGTCTAAAAGTACTAAAGTATTAATTTTTTAGGGGTAGAAAGACAGAAATCCCATAATTTACATCAATTTTGAAGTGAAAATAAATATTCACTGCCAAATTTCCTTGAATTTCTAAAAATTTCGTTTAAAATCCTTGAAATTCCAAGAATTTTGAAGGAATTCCCTGAAAATTCAATGATTTGATGATCAATGATGTCTAAAAGTACAAAAGTTACAATTTTTAGCGGCAAAAAGACAGAAATTCCGCAATGTACATAAATTTTCAAATGCAACTAAACATTCACTGCCAAATTCCCTGAAATTTGGAGCTCAAGAAAAAATTTCTTCGAACTTCCCTAGTTTCCCCCTAATTCTCCCCGAACAATAAACTTAAATTTACATTTCCCCCGAATTTTCCCCTAAAATTATAAATTTTCAATGACAAAACTCCTTCAAATTTCCCTGGAACCGTCACATGTTAGAAGTTTCCTGGCCTCCTCCCGTAAATTTAACTGTAAAATTGTCACCAATGAACGCATTAAATAGAAAAAAAAAATTTTCAACTAACCTTAACAAGGAGATGAACGGGTTGACTGACACTTGGCGATTTTCCACGGCGTGCCTTGCCACCCCCGCCGCCCAGGCACCTTATCCACGGCATTCCAGACAGTCCTTGGCTTCCCGTATTCACTCACCGCCAATATCAATTCCTCCCGATGCCGCAACACCCAACAATCTCCATCCTTTCCCACGTATTTCACAATTAAAAATAAATAAAAAAAATTGGCAGAATGTCCCCGAGATAATTGCCGATGATGTAGTCAGTTTTTTACTTCACATCCACTCAACTCTCCCCACCAGTTTATTTACACCGAATACATTAAATCGATCTCCCCTCGGCCAAGCATCAATTTTCAATAACGATCAGATCCCAATCAATTTTATAGTCGCTGATAGCTGTACGAATTAATTCAAGCCTCCCAACAAGCACTCCCCAATATTTTCCACACATTAAACGTGCAAAATTGTAAATTGCCCTGTTACAAATTCCCCCGCCAATCCTCTTATCTCCACGTAATACCTCGAGTCACCAATTGCAGTGCGTCAACAATGAATTAGCATTGACTCAAGATAACAGCGCCGATTGCATTTGAAAATGGACATTGTCCCCGCAATTTGTAGCATTAAACTTTCCCGATTGACCACAAATTTCTCTCATTTAAGATTCACTCGACAACTCCTCTCGCCAATTTGTTCAGCCGATCCGTCACTGATTGCGGATAAAACGAGTGTCCATCACTGCACAGTCAATCCCTCGTCTTTACCCTCAAGTTCTCTCTCAACTTGATGAAAATGAGCAATTCAAAGTCCAATCAATGAATTATTCAGGCTTCTCCTCTTGTTTTCGTCATTGATTCGTTCGCTAAATCATCGGTCGTTCGTTTTATTTTCTTTTTTCCTTGTTTTTAATTAAAATATAATGAATGGATGCGAATGCCAGTGAAAACTGAGCGATTGGGCAATGTATATCCTATGTTTATTCAGTTTGTTTTGATGCGTATGGACGAACGAACGGCAGCGTCGACTGTCTCGCACCGCAGTCTGCCGTAGACTGACGGAGAATACCGGCCGGGAGCTGAAGCGGTTAGTTCTTTCGCCCAATGCCGACAGCAGCCGTGCCTCTGCCGAACGGAAGGATGAGGGGATCAACCATCCGAGACCACTCCGTATCGTAATCACATTGCGAATCCCATGTTTACGCACTTTTTATTTATTTTTTCCCTTTATTTCTCCCATCACCAGCCCAATGGGCTTTTTATGCCGCCACTGTATTTACTCGTAAAATCAGTGAGGGGGCGGAGGGGGGG